AAAAAAAAGGCTTCTGCTTAAAAGGAAACAAGAGGTACAATGGAGTCTTATCTTCCACATAAGTTAATTTTAAAAGTCGGCACAAAATACAAATACATGATACAAATATCCTTGAAAACTCATGGCTGTGTACATGCTGCACTATATAGCAATTCTTGGTACACTTAAGTATGAGAATCACAGAGTTATGCCCAAGGAAAAAAAACTAAAGAAAATTCAAAATGTAGACTAGAACAAAGTGCAACATTTATTTAATGTACTAAAAATCTGTAGTTGGTCTGCTAGAACAACAAAGAAATCTGTGTTGGAAGAAGTACAGCCAGAATCATCCTTAGAAGCCAGGATGTAATATTAGGAGCAGCCAGTCCCTAGAGAAGGACATCATAGATATCAATCTTTATGTTGTTGTTAGGTGCCATCGAGTCGGTACCAACCCATAGCTACCTTATGCACAGCAGAACAAAACACTGCCCGATCCTGGAACAGCCTCACTACTGTTGCCATGCTTCAGTCCATTGATGCTGCCACTTGGCCAATCTATCTCATTGGGGATTTTTCTCTTTTTCTCTGACCCTCCACCTTACCAAACATGATATAGTTCTCCAGTGACTGGTCCATCCTGACAATATGTCCAAAGATGAGAGACAAACTTTGGCCATCTTGGCCTGTAAGGAGCACTCTGGCTGCACTTCTTCCAAAATGGATCTACTGGTTCTTTTGGCTGCCCATGGCACTTTCAATATTCTCCTTCAACACCATAACTCAAAGGCATCAATTTTTTTATTGGTGAATAAGGCCTTCCTTATTCACTGTCCAATTTTCACATGCATATGAGGTTTTTGAAAATACCATGGCTTGGGTCAGGCGCACCTTAGTCCTCAAGCTGACATATTTGCTCTTCAACACTTTAAAAAGGTCTCATGCTGCAAATTTCCCTAATGCCATAGGTTGTTTGATCTCTTGACTGCTGCTTCTGTGAGTGTTGATAGTTGATCAAAGAAGAAGGAATCCTTGACAACTCAATCTTTTCTCTGTTGGTAAGAATGCTGTTTATTGGTCCAGTGGTGAGAATTTTTGTTTTCTCGACATTGAGATGTAATCTATACTGAAAGCTGTGCTCTTTGATCTTCATCAGTAAATGTTTTAAGTCCTCTTCACTTTCAGCAAGAAAGGTTGCATCATCTGCATATCACAGGTTGTTAATGAGTCTTCCTCCAATCCTGATGCCA